ATATAAAATGTATTCGATGGGCTTAACAGCAACCTGAGCACAACAGAAGGAAGAATGAGTGAAGTCAAAGTGGGGTCAGTAGAAACTACCCAAATGGAAAAGAAGAAGGTGACGGTGCCTGAGCCTCTTTGAGGTGGTGCCCTCACTGCCCCTGTCTGGGCCTCACCTTATACCACAGGGTCCGGAGGCAGTTTTTCCGCAGGGTCGTGTGCTGCCATGCCATGTACTCATCCACGCGGGCACGAGCTTGCAGCTCCTGAGGGTACCAGTGGTCAGGGACCTTGAACTTGCGAGTCAGGTAGAGAAGGATGGCCACACTGCAGGGGAGGGAGGACATGATGGGTATAGAAAGGGCACTGTGGCCCTAGCCGGTTTGGCTCAGTGGATAGAGCATCATCCTGCAGACTGAAGGGCCCTGGGTTCGATTCCCGCTCAGGGCACATGCCCGGGTTGTGGGCTCCATCCCCAGTAGGGGGTGTGCAGGAGGCAGCCAATCCATGAGTCTCTCTCATGGATGTTTCTGTCTCCCTCTCCCTCTCCCTCTCCCTTCCTCTCTGAAATCAATAAAAATATATTTTAAAAAATAAAATAAGATAAAATTGAGGGTTAGGACAAGATGGTCCCAGCGAGGTCTGGGAGCAGCCCCGGGCCCCAGTTACCTCTCTGTCAAGGTGAAGTCGCCATCCTTCAGGGCAGGCACCTTCTTGAGGGGGTTCACCTGGGCGAAGGCATCGCTGAGGTGCTGGCCTGCGGAGAGCGCATCATGGTGGGTGGTCAGAGGAGAATGCGGAGCCCTGTAGGGCCTGTGCCCACTCCCTACAAGATCCTGGCCTCGCTGGAGTTTATCTGAGAGGTTTCTGCTCCTGCAGATGCACCCGGAGAGAAGATTCTGAAGGCACTTAAGTCGCCCAGCCAGTGTGGCTCAGTGGTTGAGCATCAACCTATGAACCAGGAGGTCACCCTTCGATTCCCGGTCAGAGCACATGCCCAGTTAGAGGGCATGCAGGAGGC